AAAAAAAAAAAAAAAAGAAGAAGAAAGAAAAGAAAAAAGCTAGAGGATTGTATCTGAAATTATAGTAGTCAAGTTGCATGAAGCTCTTGATAAAATATTATTTTATCTGAATTTAGGATACTGTAGTGACTTTTTTTTATTGTTTTCAAGAGATAGGGTCTCACTTCTGTCACTTGGGCTAGAGTGCAATGGCATGATCATAGCTAACTGCACCCTCAAACTCTCTGGCTCAGGTAATCCCACCTCAGCCTTCTGAGTAGCATGGCCTATAGGCACATGTCACCGTGCTCATCTAATTTTAAAAAAAATTTTTTTTTTTTTTTGGTAGAGATGAGGTTAGATTGCTTTGAACTTTTGGCCTCAAGCAGTGCTTCAATTTCAGCCTCCCAAAGTTCTGAGATGATAGGTATGAGCCACCACACCTAGCCACCATAGTGACTTTTAAAACTGTTAGCCAGGATTATTTTTTGAAAGTCCATATATCTGATTTTGAATTTTAGTCCGAAGTGTGTATGGTTCATTTTTATGAAGCTTTTGTATGTTATAAGTAAAATTATATCCCTTATAACTTGATTACTTATGTATTAAAAATAATTTATGATAAAAATTTAGATGGGATATAATTTGCCCCAAAGAATGTATCATTTCTTTCACTCCCTGAATAGCTTATGATGGGTTTAGAATTAGTACAGAAGGAGAACAAAAAACCTTTGAGAATAGAATATTGCAAATGGAATAAAATTTAGAATATTGGAATAGAAGATTGTGTTGTTTACAATTTCTAATTTATCTATATGGAAAGATCAATAATTTTTGTGGAATAGTATGGTGAAATTTAATTTGCCATATTCACCAGTTATTCTTTTTTGATGAGGCCAGCACCCTACCCACTGAGCAACAGGCACTGCCCTCACCAGTTATTCTTTTTTTTTTTGAGACAGAGCCTCAAGCTATCCCCCTGGGTAGAGTACCGTAGCATCACAGCTCACAGCAACCTCCAACTCCTGGGCTCAAGCAAGTCTCCTGCCTCTGCCTCCCAAGCAACTGGGACCACAGGTGCCAGCCACAACGCCTGGCTATTTTTTTGTTTGGTGGGCCCGGGCTGGATTCGAACCCACCACCTTAGGTGTATGTGGCTAGCACCTTAGCCACTTGAGCCACAGGCGCCGAGCCACCAATTATTCTTAATGAGAGAATGTTTCACTCTCTCCATCCTACTTCCCCTGACTCTTCCATCTCTCTGTATGACAATAACTGCATATAAAGAGAAATGTTACTGATACATTGACCATATTGTACACATAAAGTAAAATTACAGGAAAAAATATTGAGGACCATTTTGTGTAATCCTAATGTAAATTAGAGTCCTTTTGTACAAAACACGAGCTTTATCTTAATAAATAATGTCTTAATAACTAAGTAATTAGATTTTCCCCTTGGTTTGCCTCTTACTTTAGGACTTTCTAAATGGATACGACAACAGATTCAGCACCATTCAACCTTTGAAAGTGCACTGGAATCCTTGGCTGAATTTTCTAAAAAGCACCAAAAGGTCACGAATGTATCCAAAAAGCAAGGAAAGTATATACAGAACAATGAGTCTACACTTGAAGTTACCTGTTTGAAGGATAATACTCCAACTTACTTATTGGAAGCAGCAAGTCATCTATCACCAGAAAATACTAGGGAAGAGGAAGCAAAAATGTGTGTCCAGGAACCACAAAGTCCTGAAATGATTACTAAAAATCCATATCTACCAAGCGACATCATTTCCAGAAAGGAGAAAAGTAGGAAAAGTTCTGCCCATTTACGTTTGCTAGAGAAGTCTTTTATTATATTTAGTGAAATGATATTTATTTGGGTATAGGTTAATTTTCTTAAATATGTTAGTTGATAATATAAGATATTATCATAAAACAATCAAATAATATGGTGTTTTGGAATGGGAACAAATTTTGTCAAGAGATCAGATTACTAATCTGGTTTTCCACTAATTAGTTTTGCCACTTTGTGATCATGAGTAAGTCACTTAACCTATTTGAGTCATAATAGAAAAAAAGAATACCTGCCTAGCCATCTATCCCTTCAGGTTGGGTTGTAAAGGTCAAATAAGATGGTAAATATCACAGTACTGTAAGGTACTATACAAGTAACAGATGTTATTTCAAAAGCTATATAAAAATTTGGGCTAATTTATAGATTCTTCTAGGAATTTCTTCATTATCAGGTGAGAGACATTTTAAACAATAAATATTATTTTTAAATGTATTAGAAATAATGGTCTATATCAAGGATTAGTAAACTGGCACATAAATCAAATTTGGCCTGCTGTCTGTTTTTATAAATAAAGTTTAATGGAACACAGTCATACCCATTCATTTACATATTGCTTCTCAGCCTTTTGGTTAAGGTCAAATGTAGTATGTATTGCAAACAACAGCAGAGTTGAGTACAGACAGTCCCCGGGTTACAAACTAGATAGGTTCTATAGGTTTGTCCTTAAGTTGAATTTATATGTAAGATGGAACAGGCATATTTATCTATTACCTATAATAGCCTCCATTGATAAGTACAAATCATATGTCATTTGAATGGTTGTAACTCACTCAGGGACTGCCTATAGTTTATGGCCTTAGAACAGATGATTGAGTAGCTATAACAGAGATAATATGGCATGCAAATCCTAAAATATTTACTGTCTGGCTTATAACATAAAAAAGTTTGTCAATCTTTGGTCTGTGTCATTGGATATGATTTTAATTGTTTTAATTAATATATTATTGCTTATATAAGTCAATTATTAAATACTTATTTTGTAGTGTGTGTGTGTGTGTATATATATATATTTTTTTTTTTTTTTTTTTTTTAAGAGA